TTGGTCACATGTGTATCACGAAGAACGATAAAAAAATAAAAAAATAAAATAAAATAAATAAAAAGTTAAGAACTTATATGGGTTCTAATTTGTCAAATTATTCTACTCACGTGCTTATTAGAGACCGTGACAATTATACATGTTTTGTCGTCTCTTGGCTATGTTATGGTCAAAAAATAAATATGTACCATACAGTAATTTTTTTATTTTTTTTTATTTTCTGCTCAAGCCATACAGTAAGTATTGTTCTAATTCAACATTCATAATTGTTTTGAGCTGGACAATTAATATGTATCTACCATGAAACATCTCTGAAGATCTTATTGCCATGTTTCATTGACCGAAAAATAAATTAATTTTGAATATTATTATAACCATGGAAACAACATTTCATTCCAACACAACCGGAATAAAATAATCTTATGATATTGTCAAAGATTGGTTAAATTTATCATGTGAAGCAGTACAAAACAATAAAACTATTTTTGCCGTCAGTTTATTTGAATCACATATTAATCTATCATCCTGAAATATCTTGTAGTGGATCTATCAGTGAATTTTGCGTGTTCTACTTCAGTATGCTTTATCAAAAGAATCAATCACTTCTCAATCGTGTAATTAGATTAAGGTTTCATAGACTCAAAAAAAAAGACTAGAAAAGCTACGTGTAGATTTCATAGTCAATCAGAAGGAATAGACGAAGTTTCCGGGGCTAGGTAGTATGGCTGCTAGTACACCAATTTTTCCCATTATATACGTAAGGTTACTTCTGCTATATATATACGCGGACGAAAAGCTAAAATTACTTAAAATAAGGTGTAAAAGTTAAGATGAATCGCTTAATATTCTTCTTCCCTTCTATTAGCCTCTTTGTTTTCCTAGGATTAATTCCAATAATATTCTTGTCGGATTTGGCGATAGCACAAAACAGAATAGAAGTAAATAAGGTAAAAGTGGGCGTGGTTGTGGACTACAATGATAAATTGTTCGGAAGGATGGGATTGAGGTGCATCAAAATGGCGCTCTCGGACTTCTACGCATCTCGCAGTCATTACAACACAAGGTTGGCGCTTCAGACCAGAGACTCCGACTCCGATGTTGTTGAGGCTGCTTCTGCAGGTAATTACTGATTACTCTCTCTCTCTCTAAGATAATTAACATGGGGTTTCATTTAATTTCTTGTTTCTTAAGTTGCTATTTTACCAAGTGATAATGATGCATGAGATTTTCGTTATTACATTCGCTATTTTTATTTGTATTGTGGTTTATCTTAACTTGTCAATTTAGCTTGGTTTTTGTTATTTGTTTCTTGTTGTTTTGTATTAGTGGATATTTGATAAGTTATAGTCACATTGGATATTGTATATAACTAGACTTGAATATGGAGATACATTAAAACCATAGAGGATTTTCCTCTTAGCCATGAATTTGGCTTGAGTTTTCCCATTTCGTTGCATCAAATAATGAGATGGATGTTGTGTCTCCCTTGTCAAACGTCAAATATTGAAAAGTCTTTGTTTGTTGCCGAAGAGAAGAGAAAAAAAACAAAAAACAAAAAAACAAAAAGAGAGTTGAAAAGTCTTTGCAGTCTACTTCATTTGCCTAGACTATTTCAAAGTCATCTAAATGTTCTGAGGCTCTAACTTGTGGAATGTGGATCCAGAAGAATCGTGTTATTCCTCACCGTGTAAAACAGCAGCCAAGATAAAGAATACAAGTCAACTAAAATCACAATATAGTATGAGATCAATTGGGACCTTTCAATATTCTAGCAAAAAAAAATGGCACCTTTTAGTTTACACTATAGAATTCTTCGACTGCAACTTTGACGTCGACGACTTGGCATTCCTTTTGAATTAGTATGTTACACCTTGGAATCAGAATGTTTTCCTTAATAATGAAATATTGAAATCTTAAAAAAAAAAAATGTGATAGTGAGTTTGTAAAATATTAACAAAACAATTATAAATATGATAATAGAAGTATTATCTTCTAGTTATTGTCCAAGATTGTTAAAAATGTTTGATCATGACAAGAATTATTTAAGAATACCTTTTTTTAGATCATTTATAAATATGAAGTTGAAATGATGGGTATAGGTTCGTCCCATTTGTGTTCCCATAGTCTTGGTTTGTTTAAACTTTGCGCTAACTTACATATTACCAAAAAATAATCATGTTGTTTCTTAATCTTTCTTTTTAAAGCTTAATTTAGTTCTTTTTAATAATGCATAATACCGAGAATAAATTAAAAGCTTATGATAATCTTTATATTCTTCTTATCATGATCAACACAGCTCTAGACCTCATAAAAAACGTACAAGTACAGGCCATAATAGGGCCAATAACATCAATGCAAGCCAACTTCATCGTCGATCTCGGCGAAAAAGCTCGAGTACCGATCATATCATACTCAGCAACAAGCCCTTCTCTCAACATCCGAAGTTCCTATTTCTTTCAAGCCACACAAAACGAAGCGTCACAAGTGAAGGCCATAAGCTCCTTAGTCAAGGCATTTGGATGGAAACAAGTTATTCCCATTTACACAAATGACGATTATGGTGAAGGCCTAATTCCCTTTCTGACTGACGCTTTGCTTGAAGTCGACGCTCATATCTCTTATAGAAGCGTCGTTTCGAATGGCGACGAAAAGGAACTCGATGAAGAGCTTAAGAAATTGATGACTATGCAAACGAGAGTTTTCATTTTGCACACCAACGTTTCTCTAGGGACAAGGACTTTCGCCAAGGCAAGAGAGATCGGAATGATGGGAGAAGGGTATGTTTGGATTGTGACAAATGGGATGACCAATTTGTTGAGTTCAATAGAACCTTCGGTTGTCGGTACGATGAGTGGGGTATTGGGGATAAAGACTTATGTTCCGGAGACCAAAGGGCTTAAGAATTTCAGAGATAAATGGAAAACTCGATTTGAAGGTGATAAATTGAATGTGTTTGGATTGTGGGCTTATGACGCGGCTAAGGCGTTGGCCATTGCGGTTGAATACGTTGGGAAGAGTGGCAAGTTTGGCTTCAGAAAGGGCCAAAAGGTTGAGGGAAATTACTCAACTGACCTTGACGCATTTGGGGTCTCTCAAAATGGTACACAACTTCATGAAGCACTATCAAATGTGACATTTAAGGGCCTTGCTGGAGACTTTAGGATTGTTAAAGGGCAATTACATTCTTCCACTTATGAGATAATCAATATTGCTAATGTAAATGGGGAAATTAAGAGGGTTGGATTTTGGACGCCAAGAAATGGACTAGCAAAGAGTTTGAGTTCAACAAAAAAACTTAGCAAGGAGTATAATACTTCCAAAGACAATTTAGGTAACATTACATGGCCAGGAGGATCTAAGAGCGATCCCAAAGGATGGGAGATTCCGACAAATGGGAAGAAACTGAAAGTGGGTGTTCCATTGAGAGGCGGTTTCACAGAGTTTGTTCGTGTCACAAATAATGCCGACAACACCCCAAATGTCACGGGGTATTGCATAGACATTTTCAAGGCTGTAATGGAAGAGTTACCATATAAAGTTGACTATGAGTTCATTCCATTTGTGAATTCTAGTGGTGGGAGTAATGGTACTTACGATGATATGGTTTATCAAGTTTATCTCAAGGTAAATTTTATAGTTTGATTTATATTATATATATTTATGAGAAATTAATTAGGTGAACTGAATGTGATATAAAACCTTGTCGTATGACAGAATTTTGATGCTGCGGTGGGAGATACGACGATCAGAGCCAATAGATCATTGTATGTTGACTTCACATTGCCATACACAGAATCTGGCGTGTCAATGATAGTGCCAGTCAAAGATAAAGTAAACAAAAATGCATGGGTGTTTTTGAAGCCTTTGACATGGGATCTCTGGGTGACAATTGCTTGTTTTTTTGTGTTCATCGGATTCGTCGTTTGGATTCTTGAACACCGGATAAATGAGGAATTTCGGGGGCCTCCGTCGCACCAAATCGGCACCAGCTTCTGGTTTTCCTTCTCAACTATGGTCTTTGCACATAGTAAGTTTCTTTAACAACATTCTAGCAAAATAGTCTCATCAAAATGAAGTTTGATTTTACTTTTGCTTTTAGCAATTGAGGAAAATAAATAAAAGCTATAACCTTTCAGTTAATTTAGTGTTTGAGACCACATTTTTTTTAAGTGTTTAATGAGACAAAAATGATATTCGTATTCTATTTATGAAATGTTATTAAAGTTCTATTACAAGTTTTAAAGTTTTTTAAGTAGAGCTTTTTTTTTTAATGCAAAACTTAAGTAGAGCTTTTTGAGAAGCTAGATTTTTTAGCTTCGACTAAAAACTCTTCTCGAGAGCTAAATCTTTTTTGAAAATTCATATAAACACTGACAGAAACAAATTTTGGTTAAAGATCCTTAATTAAATAAGTATGTATATATGCCTCTTTAAACCAAACAATGTTTTCTTGTGACCTTCATAGGGGAGAGAGTTATTAGCAACTTGGCAAGGTTTGTGATAACAATATGGGTGTTCGTGGTGCTAATTCTGACACAAAGTTACACTGCGAGTCTGACATCACTCTTGACATCCCAACAACTCCAGGCTACTGTTACCAACGTTAGCCAACTGATCAAGAATGGAGATAATGTTGGTTATTTAGAAGGTTCTTTTGTCTATGGAATGTTAAAAGGTTTAGGCTTTAATGATTCTCGTCTCAAGGTTTTTAAGTCTCCAAAAGAACTCCACGAAAAATTTTCAAATTACCCAAGTGCACATGATGGTATTGCTGCTGCATTTGATGAGACTCCTTACGTGAAGCTCTTTCTTAGAAAATACTGCTCCAAATACACCTTGGCTGACCCAACATTTAAAGCTGATGGTTTTGGCTTTGTAAGCAAGCTCCTCTAACTCACAACTAAGAGCCTGTTTGGTAAATAGGTTTGAAACGTGGTGGTTTGGACTTTAATGGTTTGAAATTGGAAGTTTGAAATATGGTGGTTTGAACTGTTTAGCAAACGGGCTCTAAATATTTCCTTCTTTTTCACATATAAAATCACTTTTGTCATTATCCAATACTTGATTCACAGGTTTTTCCAAGAGGCTCTCCTCTCGTTCCCGACGTATCGAGGGCAATACTAAACGTGACCGAGGGCGAGAAACTGAAGAAAATAGAGGCCAAATATTTTGGGACAAAGACAAGCTGTCCAGACCCCAGCAGTACACAAGGCTCTTCCAACAGTAGTCTTGGTCTTGAGAGCTTTTGGGGACTTTTCCTCATTGCTGGGGTTTCATCATTGTGTGCTTTGGCAATAAATGTTGTTATATTCTTTCATGGACAAAGAGACGTGATCGTGAGCTCTACTCCAGCTGAAGCCTCAATGTGGAAGAGATTTCATGTGATATGTAAAGTGTTTGATCAAAAGGACTTGAGTTCACACACTTTTAGAAAGAGCTCTACACAAGCGGCTCATGGACAAACAAATGGCAACGTTCACGGTGTTGTTCCTCTTGAGGCCATTTCAAATACTAATAGTCATCCAATTAGCCCATCAAGTTATTCAGACCACACAGATTTTAACTTTGTAGTGTTCTCGGAGCAAGAATCATCTCCTGCACATCATGGGAATTCGGATCAATCATCTTCTGCTACTGATCAGTTTTCTGATGCTCAAAACCACGAGGCAAGGGGTACTAACAGCTCCTGAAATATCCCAAATTGAAAAACAATTGATGTAGAACCAAAATGATTTTCTATTCTCAATTTTTTTTCCCTTCTTTAAACGACTGGTTTACTCAATAGTGTACCGTTGGTTTACTTTAATTATGTGTTTGTGTGGAGGGAGTTCTTTTTTTCCTCCTTTAAACCATTGTTTTACTCAAAAGTGGATTACTAGTTTACTATAAATATGTTTTCTCTAGGATATTTTGAGATCATTTTAGAATTTGTGGTTTAATCTAAAATAAACAAGTGGCTAATTAGACTAATGTTCTAGTTAAGAGAGAGATAGAGAGACTTATGTACACGGCCATCATGTTTTTGTTAATTTGGGTAGTTTTATCAAGAGATTATTTTCAGTATAAAAAAACTCATTAATGTCTCTCTCTCTACTCGAGAGAGGAGAAAATGAAAACAAAAAATGAAAAACGACTAAAAGTCATTTTTTATTTTTCTCTCATTTTACTCTAAACTAAAAATCGTTTTCATTTCCGTTTTTTGTCTTTATTGTGACAAACGCTGTTTTAAAAATATTTTTATTTTTTATTTCTCAAAAAACATAAAAAAATAAAAATGAGATCAATTCTAAACACGGCCGTTATGTTTTCAACTCCCACCCCTATATTTAGGGATGCAATTTTGACATAACCACTTAAAAGATGAATGGGTTATTCATTATTGGGCTTTGTAGTGGCCCAGATGTCGAAAATAGCCTCCTATGGCTGCTCAATGGTGCTTGGTAGTACTTAAAAATGGAGCAGACAGAAAGCAGAGCAGCCCATGTGGTGGGTAGTAAATAGAGTTGTCCCGCTTTTAGTAATTACGATTGGGAAATCGCTATAAATGGATAAAGAAAACGAACCAACATTATATTCTTCACCAACTTGGATCCCATTATTCCGCTTAGCAACACATGCACCAATCATTTCACCAACTAAATATTGTGTAAATCTGGCTAGTCAGGTTTCTGTGAAACAACTGTACGTAAAATTGCATTCTCACAAGCTTGAGGGACCATTGAAAAAGAAGAGAAATTAAAAATAACGACCTTGTTGAATTCCTTTAGTTGGATTTTTCTTAGTAAAATGAAAGAAACTTGTATGAATAACATCTTGCTTTTTGGAGAATTTTGGTTCTGTGTGATTAGCAATAGCAAATCACGGAATCAAGCTAGATTTGGTATTAGTATTTGAGTCTATTGGGAATTTGTATTTAGTGATTTAGTTCTAGTATGTGTGTGTCAGAAATACGTTTCATATGCTGCAGCCTGCAAGAGTTCATTGATTAAGCATCATTTTAGCTCAAGGTGTATGAGTTGGATTCCTTTCCAATTCCCATCATTTCATATCCATACTTTCTGTTTGATAACAGAACATTTAGTGTTGTAGAAGAAACAAAAAGATGTGAGGCCCTGCAAGAGATATATAATGGACCCACGAAGTTAGTTCTCAGTACTCAAAACTATTTTATATGATCGTATCTCTTTACAGAACTAGCTTCATATGATACTAAATAAAGACGTTTTAAAAAAAAAAA